AATACATGTCCCAAAAATGTCTCGCAATCCGGAAATGGGAGGTTCCTGGGGTTATTTGAAGCAACTTTTTCCTTAGCGAAAATGCAGTCCGCTGCTTCGTTTACGAGTTATTAACGAAAAACGGTGACCAATGAGACGCGAGATCAGTTGGCGCGAGACGGCCGAGCCAATGGGCGAAACCAAGCTCCGTGCGCTCGTAGGCCGAGCCGCCGCACGCCGAGCTCGCCTCTCATTGGCCACCATTTTTCGCTAATAACTCGTAAACGAGGCCGCGGATCGCATTTTTGCAAAGGAAAAAGTTGCTTCAAATCACCTCAAGAATCATTTTGTCCCAGATTGCGAAACATTTTCGGGACACTCTGTATATATAATATATATTCATAATATATACAGGGTGTCCCACAATTATTTTAACAGCCGAAAATGAGGGGTAGCTGAGGTCATTTGAAGTAACTTTTTCCTTTGCGAAAATGCAATCCGCGGCTTTGTTTACGAGTTATTAACGAAAAACACTGGCCAATGAGAGGTGACGGTGCGAGAGAGAGGGTCCGCGAGAGAGTCCGCAGCACGAAGCTTTGACAGAAGGTCGGAACGGACTCGAGCCGCGTTCGAAGTATTGAACAAGTCACGAAGCGAGAACTTTCCGGATTTTTTTAACTACATAACAGTGATATTTTTAAGAAAAACGCTGTTCACCTTTACTTTAGAACGTCTGAAGAATATTCACTAATTTTTCGGACTCGAAATAATATGTAGTTTAACCGTGACAGTCGTTTTAATTTTCTGGTGTGCATGACACCTTATGTGTACCATATGAAATTTTTATGCAAGGTGTACAGTGAAGATTAACAAAGTTAGTAAATGATATTTTAATTTAAATACTTCCGTGTACGAACAGAATTCAACGAATGATTCGCAAAGCTGATTTAATAATAAATAATCGCGTTAAGGTACGTAAAGGATTTGTTTTTTAGAGAAATATGAAAAATATTATCGATAAGAAACTCACCCATTTAGTTGAGGATGCATTTGCTGACTCGTACGTACT